AATGGAGCTCCCGGGATTAGAACCGGCACCCATATGGGATCCCGGTGCGTTCAAGGTGAAGACTTTAGCTGCTAGGCCACTCCGCCAGGCCCTTCCTCTGTTTTTGATACTATGCTTGTAGTACTGTTCTAAGAGGCTCAGGTTCTCTTTAGAAATCTAGGTTTTGTTCTGCTGCATGCACTTGTCTCCCAGACTTGACTTTTCTTCCTTTGAGGCAAAAGTTAACTCTAAGTGTGGTCCATTCAGAGTCAATAATCCATCTGGCCTTGAAGTAATCATGGCTTTTTAGATTCTGTAAACCACTTCAATTTTTAAAAGTTCAGTTTTTTCCCCGAGTTCACAGGGAGGTCATGAAAGGATCCTAAGTCAGGAAGGTAACAATCACTTTGTTTCCTTTGTTTTTAATACAAATTTGACTATAATGTGGTGAATTGATTTGGAGCCAGAAATGGCTAAGAGAACAAGACACACATATTAGTCAGGAGGTCATTGTTATAGTCAAGCTGTAAGATGGTGGAGGCCCAGAACTATAAGAATATCTGTGGACATGGAGAGAAATAAGTGGATTTGGATTCAGAAAGCACATAGAAGATAGGGATAGCGGGCCTGGCACAATAGCCTAGTGGCTAAAGTTCTTGCCTTGAATGCTCTGGGATTCCATATGGCTGCCAGTTCTAATCCCAACAGCCATGCTTCCCATCCGGCTCCCTGCCTGTGGCCTAGGAAGTCAATGATGGCCCAAAGCCTTGGGACTCCGCACTCATGTGGGAGAGCTGGAGGACACTCCTGGCTCCTGGCTTTGAATTGGCTCAGCTCCAGCCATTGTAACTACTTGGGGAGTGAACCATCAGATGGAGGATCATCCTCTCTGTCTCTCCTCCTCTCTGTATATCTGCATTTCCAATAAAAATAAATAAATCTTTTAAAACAATAGGGCCTGGCGGCTTAGCCTAGCGGCTAAAGTCCTCACCTTAAACACACCAGGATCCCATATGGACTCCAGTTCTAATCCTGGTTGCCCAGCTTCCCATCCAGCTCCCTGCCTGTGGCCTGGGAAAGCAGTCGGGGACGGCCCAAAGCTTTGGGACCCTGCACCCGCGTGGGATCCAGAAGTTCCTGGATCCTGGCTTTGGATCAGCATAGCATCGGCCATTGCACTCACTTGGGGAGTGAAGCATCAGATGGAAGATCTTCCTCTCTGTCTCTCCTTCTCCTCTCTATATATCTGACTTTGTAATAAAAATAAATAAATCTTTTAAAAAATAAAATAAAATAAAAACAATCGAAGATAGGGGGAGCAAGACTTAACATGGCATAAAACCCCATGATTATTTGATGTCACTAGTCCTCTCACAGCCATTTAAATGCTCATCTAAGAGCTGATCTAAACTTTATCAGATGAATGGAAACACATACTTTGTTGAGCAGAAATCTGCTTGCATGATAAACAGTAAGTCAAATCTTCTTTTTAAATTATGTCAATAAGTCTAATAAATCTACCACATATTATGCCTATATTTCCTTATTTGAGGTGTAGAATGAGAACATGCAAATATTTATTGAGTACCTGGGTAACATTGTTCTTTAACAAAACAAAACAAAACATACAGAAGCAGCAGGAAACTGACAGATTTAAAAGAGAGAAGGATTATTTTTTTATATTTTATTTGAAGCTATGAAAGTTATTGAAGTATAATACTTGCCTTGAATACTTTCCCAACAGAAGAAATTAATGTTTATGCCTAAGCAAGATACTTCATGGTGGTGAGACATATAAGGTTCACTGACTTTGAATATTCTATTCAAAATATCACGAAGGAAAAAAAAGACTTTGTGCAGTCAACGATTTGAACTAGTAAAAAGACTGAAGCATAAAGCAAAATAAACAAAAAAGATGTTTAGACACTGCATAAATTTGGAATTTGATTTTCTTTCAGAAAATATTCAACTTACATTCATGGGTTATTAAGTAATCTTGCCTATATTATGGACTCTTTTTTTTTTAACTGAGATAAACTCACAGAAAATACCTAGAAAGCCACTCTTCATTCTAAATTTGGAATTATTTCTAATTACCTGTATCTCCACACTAATATATTACATATTCATTCTGAATATCTTTAATGTCCTCATTATTTGAATAATGTATAATATGAATGGTAATTAGTTATAGAGATTACCCAATTTTGCTTTTTCATTTGAGTGTGATTATATTGAAAAAGGTCTTAATCCAAAGTGCCAATCCTTTTTGTTTATTTCTATTTTTCCTATACTTTACATGATAACTCTAAGGAAGAATTTTTGGTATGTACATTTTGTATATACTGCGCATGCCAAATAGATCTTCCAAGATGAAATCCTGAGTTCATTTGGAAGTAATTTTTGGTAGCACATGAATCAGAACTCTTATTTTCTTCTCAGCACTACTGGTATTTTATTGCTTCCATCTGTAGTCCAATATGCTTTTAGCACTAAGAACCCTGAGGCCAAACACCAAGCACTAAGAAAATGGGAACTTGCGGCGATTACAATTTTTGTCTCTCTTTCAGGGTTTTTTCCCTCCCCTGGGAGAGTGAAATCACTTTAAGCCCACTATGAAACAGGAACATGGTGAGTACAAATGATTGACTGAAGTTTGTGATGCTGATTTAGGAATCTCTGACTTATAGGTTAGGTGTAAAACCTTTAAACCTGCATGTCAAATCTGTTTGTCAAACTCCTATGAATTTTTCTTAACTCTGCTCAAATGTCACATTCACTATAAAAGCTTCTCTGTCCAGCACAGACAAAGTTAGGCAGTTCCTCTCTTGTGTCACTATCATACCTCAATATATTCCTATGATAGCACTTATCAAACTATATTGCTTTTATTTTTGCTACCTCTTTCCACTCAGAGGGAGGCTGTTCTCTTTCTTTTATCTCTAGACCGGAACACTAACAAAACCTAGTTGGTTCTAAATAAATAATTGAAAGGATGATCAGAAAATCATTAATAACACTCAACATGTGGCAAATGCCAGGATATCTTTTCAAATGAGGAAGACATGGCAGGAATTATGATCTATAGTTTTTAGATATGGAAATCAGTTTCCAGAGTGGTTACAATGGCAAATCCAAGTTCAAACCAATTAAGAAGTCATACATCTAGTTCTTATGCTAGTGAGTACATAAAAATGTGTAGATAAAAGTGGTAGTAGTGGTGTATCTAAGAGAAAGATGGAAGTGGCTGGCCAGGAGTGCATTGGGGAAGCATTTTGGAGTGGTTGACATATAATAGGATCTGGTTACTTGTAAAATTAAACCTGAACAGGTTCACAGGAAGGCAAGTACATAAAAATTGTACATAAAAATATGAAATTATTTTCATCAAATAAGATTTACAACACATTCATTCTCTGTATTCAAGAGAAAATGCAAAAAACTCATAAAATATATCCTATATAGGTATATATGACTGTTAGCTGAAATTCAGACCATAACTCATAGACTAATAAAAGAAATATGTTGTTATAGATTTCCCGAGAATCGGTTTTCATTAAGAAAAATGGATAATAAATGACTTACCTAATGTCATATAGTGTTTGTGGCAGTACCAGGACACAAAATCAGGTCTCTTTAACAATAATATCTTCATTTTTAAACAAGTTATGATTGAGAAGTAATATTAGTTTTTAGCAAGACATCTAGGCATCTGGTGAATTTGACTATGTACAGACTATAATGCAGAAATTATAATTAAAAACACATTGTGACAAGGGAAAAATTACATTACTTTTCTGTGTCTGTGTATTGATATGCAAACTGTGTTTGGTTCTCATTTCTTTTCAACATTTTCTTTTTGAAAATAAGTAAATATAACTTGGTTTGTAAGTTCAAATCATATTTATGGTTTTAAGGTTTGAAAGTGATTTGATCATTTTCCTCTTCTCTTTGAGAATAAAATATGCACTACTATTTATTGATTAGATAAAAGTTTGAATATGTATATATTAAGTGGCAAAGACAAAAGTTAGTTAATATTGTCACCAGAAAAAGACAAATGATCATTTTCATAAGGGTTTTTGGTTTGGATTCTATTACTGAAGCTGCTTATTTAGTTTTTGGGACAAGTTCTGGGTTATATCTCCTGGGTTAGTAAGATGAAAACAATTTTGTTTCCACACGTATATTTGTTTCTTACAGATTTTGTAAGTCACATAAAAATCAAACAATTTCATGGGGTGACACTATTGACTGGGAGAGGAAGCTTTATTTAACAAATAACTTTGGAAATAGAAACACATGTCAAACTGCAATGAATTCATTTGCTAACTGCTGGAGGAAATCGCTGGAGTTCCTTTTTTCAAATATATGGACCTTTACCTATATACCACCTATTATGCATCTCTCTCTGCTACCATATGCTTTCTTCTACTGGTTCATGGGGTGCAGAGGAGATATGTTGCCACAGCATGTAGATAACACAACTTTATTCTAGCATCACAATCTGCATCCTAATTGCCTATCCCTAATACATGCAAAAATTTCCTTTTATTTCTAGGAGTGACAGTCTAAATTAAAAAAAATGAAAGATATTTAAGGTAATTTACACAGTCCAATTTAAAATCAGGTTTTCATTTAGGCTATCAAACTGACTTGTTCATCAGTTTATAATCACTTAATGTAGTAAATGAAAAATGATTTTATATATGCATTTTTAAGCTGGGTGAAATTATGTTACAAAAAAACAAAAATCACTTTAGTGCCAATTTACTTATTTTCTATAAATTTTTAATAGTGTTTCCCACACGCCTGCAGTTGAAGACAATTTAGTTAGAATCACATGTTACTTAAGTCAATCAAACATTTTGACCCATGTCACATGTATAAAAATGCTGTCAATTCTTGTTGAATGAATGACTATAACATACACTCCATATAGTCAATAAGCACATAAAAATGACCAGTGAACAAGAGCTCAAATGAAAGTGAAAGGCTTTGCAATAAGCTCAACTACTCACCAGAAACAAAGTTCGAAAGTTGCTGAGATCACCAAAAAATTCTTCTATGCTCACTGTCTTAGAGTCAAAGATGAAGTATTCTCCGAGATTCTCATAGAGCTTGACCATGTTGTTGTGCATGGTGGACAGTTTTTCATACTGGTCTCTGGCACTCTTTGTAAAACTGTAGCTTTGTGTTAAGGAAAATGATTCAGTGGGCTAAGGACATAAACAGGCATTTCTCAAAGGATCAGATAAAAAAAGGTGAACAGAAACATGAAAAGATGCACAAGATCACTAGCTACTAGAAAAACATAAATTAAAAACACAATGGATTTTGGTTTTACCCCAGTAAGAATATCCACCATACAAAATTCCAAAAATAACAAATGCTGGTGAGGATATGGAGAAAAAGTACCCTAGTACATTATTGGTGGGAATGCAAGTTAATAAAATTATTACAGAAAACAGTTTAGGGATTCCTCAGAAATCTGAAAACAGATCTGCCATATAATCTTGTGTGAGAAGTCATACGTAATAGTAGGCAGCTAAAAATCATATTTTTAAAAATATAAAATTGCATTTCCCAACCACCCCCCTCTTTTTTTTAAACTTTCCAAGAGCATGTTTCTTTCAAGGCCACATTCTCCCCTTGAGGAAGGACAGAGGGGCAGAATTAACATATCAACTCACCATCTCAGAGTTGTAACAAAAGCAAGGGTGAAGTGACCCACATAATCGCATCTCTGGGTCACTGTCTAGGAGATGGTGCCCCAGTGATCATCTTATCATTAGACGGAAGGAGCAAGTTAATCAGTCCCACCATTCAGAGGTTCTTTTTTTTTCAAAACCAGGTGCTATTATGCACAAATACTTCCCTTATTCTTTGAGTAACTCCCCTGGGATGATGCATAAAAACACCGTCCCCAACATTTCCTTGTTTTTGTTTTCTCTTTCCTTCCTTGGATATAGACTTCCTGGCATAGTGTGGCAGGAACCATTTTTCCCTCCTCCCCACCCCGGATTAAATCCTGCTTTGCAAACCGGAATTGTCCTCATGCACAACCTGGGCACACTTACAAAGCTGCAGACATTCACCTTTCCCTGGCTTCTCTGCCCACATTCCATTCCTGTTAGACCTCACCTCTCCTGGAACTCTCGAAAGTACACACATTAGAAATACAAAAAATCTTAATATTAATGTCGTTACTGTCTTTCCCAAGCAGTGAGCAGAGGGTGAAAAATAAAGACATACAGGGGCCATGTTTAAGGACATACCTTTCACTGGAGTCTGTCCTTGGGAAGCTAGAGAACTAGCAGGTATTGAGGATGTCAAGTGCCAGAATGAAGCAAGTGCGTGACCAAGAGTGTGAGTATCTTCCTGTTATGGGCCTTTATAGGGGCTTGTAAAGGGATTAGATATGCAACAACGCAGTACCACTCCCTCTCACATCCCAGGAGATGATAAGTGGGCAAAATGGAGCAAACCCCTAAGTGATGATGGGGGAGTGGTTTCCAAGACCCTGAACTAGTTACCTACCCCAAAATAAATCCTGTCTTTTGCAACAAAAGGGATGCAAATGCATTAGGCTTAGTGTAATTTGCCAACCTTCAAAAGAAATAACATTTATTTTCTTCGATTTGTGGTAGCTTAAGTACACAGTACAAAAAATGTAATATATATGAGTAAAACTGACAGCTTGAAATTTCATTATTGTTATAGATCTTGTGCATATTTCTGAGCAACAGCGTTGTTTTTACCTTATTAATTGTTGAGTTCTATGTTTATTGGAGAATGGACTTGTCACTATAAACTAAACTGAAGGCATATCATAGCAAAAATTTTTGAAAATTAAGGAAGGAGGAGAGACAATGGAGGGAGGAGAAAAGTAACATAAAATATGTTCTTTGTATACAATTATTTTTTTAAATTTATTTTTAAATTGAATTAACTTACTACTTTTATAAATGCATGTGTAGTGGGCAAATACTTGTAAATTAGATTGGGAAGGCTGCTGTGATACAACACTGCAGACTAGGTGGGACGAGTGCCGCATCCCAGCCTGTAACTGGTACAAGCTGCTTGGCAAGAACACTTCAGAAAAAAGGTTTTTAAGTAGGCTAATCATGAAGTATAAAGGAAATTAAAATAATTTTGCAATTTGAGTTAAATTCATTAAAATCAATCATGAATCAGAAATAAAATTGCTTTGATTGAAAAGTAATAGACCTGGAATTGTAAAAATGGGTTAATAGCACAGTTTGTTATATACCAATTTAGGATCCACTAGGCCGTTTTCGATATTTTATGCCGGCATTATTTTATCAGGTATTAATAACAGTACTACAGTACTTTGAAGTCTTGAAATATTTCATTTTAGCTTTTTTTTTTTTAATTCTTCAGTATGTTCTATTATAACCTGGGGCCAAATTTATTTTCTGTGAGAACAAAATATTAGTTTTACAAAGGAAGTATATGAAGAAACCAGGCCTTTTCTGGAAAATTACTTTGCAGCTGACACTTTCAGACTATACTATGATTTTAGAGGTGAGATGACCCCTACTTACATTCCTTTTCATATTACTTAATTATTAGCATTCACATTAGCAACACAACAACCCATTCCCTCCTAACATGTGACATTTAAATCTTTCAAGTTGCTAGTCCATTTTGACATTAATAGACCTGAAGGAACTAATACACTTCTGACAGGCTATACTTTCTTTTTAGCAACAAAAGAATCTATAATGCTTCATATTCATCCTGATTTTACCTTTGAGACTGTGTGAGGAGTTAGACTGGGCTGTTAGGGCATCCTAGGTCCCTGAGCCATTTTCTTCTCAAAGATAAAATGGCATTTTCCCCACCACGTCTTAGATTCACCAGAGTATCTTCCAAGAGACAAGGGCAGCATTAACATACCAATTCCCCACCTGAAGCATCAGCCATTGTCTCCGGCCACTGTGGGGGAGGGCCTCAGACTGGTCTCTTTACCTTTGAAAAGGGACCAAGGAAGTAGCAAGTCTGGCACCTTTCTGGGCCTTTTGTCTCAAAGCCAGGTACCATGGGGACCAGGAATTTCCTTTTATCTTTGGAGAAACCCCTTTGAAGTAAACCTTTAAAGGTGCTTTCCCCACCGTTAATATGGGTCTTTTTTTTCTCCCACTTATCCTCCTGCCACCATGGCAGAGGACTAGGGTTTTTTCCACTTTTCCTCCTGCCACTATGGCAGGGGGTAAGGGTCCTTTCTATCTCAAAGCCCCGTCCTGTCACTAGGACGGGAGCCTCTTTTCTCAGCTTTTCTAATAAATCTTACTTTAAAACAAAACTGTCCACACGAAAATTCTTCTTTCCTGCGAGGCAAGAATTGAGGTTGCTGCCGTATTGGGGGTCAAAAACCCTACAATATGACTATCACCATACCCTTCCTAATTTCTAAGAAAATGTTACATATCCTGTTTAAGTATAACAGAAAGAAGATAACTACTTTTCATATCTTACTACAGAATGAAAATAAAACTTTTGTTTTCTTAAAAAAAAATTAAAAAAAACCCCAAAACAACAAAAAAACCCTTTTGTTTTCTATTCTCCTTTCACTAAGTAAAATAGATTCATGCCAAACAGCACTAGCCAGGAACACTTTGCAAAGGTCACTTACTTGAAATCTATTTGCAATGCAAATTACCAAACAGTCTGTATATTTCAGAAAGCTCAACATCTGTAAGACATACAGAAAAAGCCAGCAATATAACAAAAAGGCAAAATTGGTATGTTTCCCCATTTATCCTAACACAATCTTCCACCAGTTTAAATATGTCCAATTTGATGCACAATTTTGTCAATTCATTTTTATGGAACAAAAAATGATTTTGGAAATTGTTGCTACACCAAAGTGTGAAAAATCTGAAAAATTCTGGGAATAGTTTATTTTAGAAATAACAAATGGAAAGCAGCCCAAACTTTAAGTGTCTCACTTATCTTAACAGTAATTACTTCATAAACCGAATAGATGGCATGAGTTGGCACGACTGCTACCATATAAACAAGTCCTACATGGGGTTGCAAGTAAAATAAAATCGGGAAAAATCATTTTCTTTTAAAGGTTCATATTTTTTCATTATCTTAAATGGGAGGCATGGAGGAAAGGAGGGAAGGGGAGAGAGAAAGTGAGAGAGAGAGAGAGAAGCAAAAGGAGAATTAAAGAGACAAAGAATGATATCTTTACCTGTTGCTGGTTCATACAGCAAATGCCCGCATGTAGCCAGGATTGGACCAGGCAGAAGCCAGGAGCCAGGAACTCTAAATGGGTGTCACATGAGGGTGGGTACAAGGGTTGGAGCCATCATCTGTTATTTTCCTGAAAGCATTAGTAGGAAGCTGGATCCAAGGCAAGAGAGTTGAGACTCAAACAGGTACCCTAAAAAGGAATCTAGATGCCCCGATTGGTAGCTTATCCTGCCACAATGGCTGCTCCAATATCATTCTTTCTCATTTTTTATTTCATTAAAATAATTTTATGTTATTTTGTTAGCTGCCACTGAACACATTATACTGGTTGATACTATAAAACACTGTGACTGACAGAATGAGCATTAAAACCTTCATCTTCACCCTGAAAAGTTCACAAGTGAATATTACAAATATTTCTACTAGCATCAATATCTATCACAAAAGGACTTTGTATCATTTACAACATATTTTCCCTTCATTGTTTCTCGTATTTTTCATGAAAACCTTTTTAAATAGGCAGATAAGGGGGGTATGTGGCTCAGCAAGGTGCCTGCAGCTCTTAACATAGTGACAATTCCAGCCATGGATGCTCTGCTTCCTTCTGATCCACTTTGTGTTAATGTTCCTGGGATGCAGGGATGGCAAGTCCAAGTACTTGAGTTCTCATTGTGAGAGGAGTTAGACTGGGTAGTAGGCAGTTAGGGTATTCTGGGTCCCTAAGTCATTTTTCCTGGAATATAAAGGGGTATTTTTCCCCACCATGTCTTGGATTCCCAAGAGCACCTCTCTCCCAAGACAAGTGATATTTTAACATATCAGGAACATGCTTCCCCAAGAGACAAAGGTGACATTAACATATCAATTCCCCACCTGAAGTCTCTGCCTGATTCTGTCTCCAGCCATTGCCAAGGGGGAGGGCTTCAGACTGGCCTCTTTATCATTAGAAAGGGACCAA